AACAACTGAAATTTAGAATAGTGTGATTAAGAAAAATATGTGAACTGTTTGCAATTTCAAATTAATATTGAAATGCACAGGTTTAGAATTTTCTACAGTGAAAAGTTTTCGGAACTTCAGTGTTCAAAAAAGTATACAAAAGCTAGACGTTAAGAACGTATCCAATGAGCGAGCAAAGCGAGCATCGGATCGCGAAGCAATCCGAAATGAACTGCGAAAGCAGTTCCGGGGGTTGGCGAGCGCCAGCGAGCAGGTGGCGAAGACTCTTATTCTTATATAATTTTAATTTTAGAATTAACGTATTGTTTAATATTTGTATGTTTTAGTTTTCACTAAGTGCAATTATTTTTTCAACGTTATTAATCCTAAATTTTAATATAAACTTTTTAATTATTTGCTATTACGACAGTTGCCTTATTATTAAATCCCTTAATAATAAGTTCATTTTACAAACTTTTAATTATATTGATAAATATGTAATGTTTATTATAAGCATCTTTTTGCCAAAAACTAAAACAGGCTGATGATTTATATATTTACCTTTATTTGTATAACTTACTAACTAGACGCAATCTGCGTCTTATTTAGTATCATTTCCGAATGATGGACTTTTTGTATGTATTATTTTATAATCATGGTTATCATCACACTCAGAGAAAAAAGTATAGTCAAAACTCTCAGAATATGGTAAAATTTGCCCTGTTTTCAACTTTTTAGGAACAACAAAAAGCTTGGTAATCTTTTCCAAAGTTCTTTAGTAATGTCTTTAGGTAAAATTAATAATTAAATTTAATTTTATAACCATGCTCTTTAGTAGTAAATGCGGAAAGATATGGTAATTTTATCATGATATTGGTAATTATTTGGTAATTTATTTGTATTTTTTTACCATGGTAAAAGACAGCATAAAAGCCACTATGGCGTCGGTGATCGCCATTATTAGCATATAGAGGTAGTATGAAACTCCTCATGGATTTTTGACCGTTACCAACACATCTTAAATATGAAAAATAATAGAAATCGTTCGAACAAAATTTATTTATTAATTGTTGAAAAATGGCCACAATTCAAAAACATGTACTCTTATTAAAGAAGAGAAATCCCTTAAAGGGATGAAATTTATCTCTCTCCCACATCGAGAGTTTTTACAGCATGAATGATATTTTAACGGTTGAGACTGGGGAGGTGCGCAAAGGCACTCCCAGTCGATTTGAAATTGAAAGTAAATACATTTGCTCCATGGAAACATGGATAGGAGATCCAAAATTGGCGAATTATCAAACTATAACATAGTCAAACCAAAGCCAACCCCGCATGATCAATATTATTTTTGAAAATACTTTGGCGATCACGAGCCGCTAACAAAACTGTGGGAATTAAAATAACCCTGTAATTGAAACATATTTAAGGTAAAAAATTAATAATAAAGAGTTATAAATAGACTTTTAATTCCGATTAATGAATTAATGAGTCTGCATTAGAATTGAAATAAAAAGTCAGCCGTTACATTGATCGATAAGAAAAGAATAAAATATTTTATGTTCGCTTTAAAATATTAACTTATTGATTTAATTTAAACATAATTCGATTAATAAAATAAGTTTAAGTAATTAAAGATATTTTAAAAGGTAGGAAATAAATATGTAGTACCAATTGTGGCATCAAAACCATATATAAGGTAAAATGTACTTTTAAGTTTTATAATTTTGACTAAATGTGTCGTAATATGAGCTAAAAGTTTGAAATTTCCAGTTAGCCGTTACGGAAAACTTACTTTGTGATTGGTTCAAATACCGTATATTTTGGTTTTTATTACCAGAATTATGGTTTTCTTTACTGGAAATATCATTACTATATAGTCTGGTAATTTTGTCAGAATTTTATTCTCCATGTATAATTATTAGTTTCGATGTTTTCTTCATAATTATTAATTTCGATATATCTCGATATTTCTATGTTTTGTTATTTATTCCGATGTTTTTCGATGTTTAAATTGCAATTATTTATTTTTGTAACTCAATTACGCTGTTTTCCTGTTATTCTTCTTGAAAAGTAGTTTCCATTATAAAGTATTTTTCTTTATATTTAATATATTTTACAATATTTTTTATTATAAGTGTAAATATCTCAACGTATCGTCAAATATGCTTATATTAAACATATTTTGTGATAAAATATGCCTTAATTTGTCTGAAATGTAATGCCTTTTTGTTTTTCTTTTCAGATTTTATCCACCAATTAACTGTGTCAATCCTTTGTATAGCAGTCCTTAACTACTGAATATATGGAACACGTTAGTGCAAGTTAAAAAGAATGCTTTGAGGATATTGAAAAACCCTTAATTTTTCTAAGTGCTAACACTGCATTGAAATTGCACATATCTTCGTTTAAAACATAAGATGCATCAAATTGCGTGTTTCAACTTGAATGTTTAAACTACGATTTAAATAAAACGCACACAAATAGTTCAAAAGATATGGGTTTTTTGAACAAAATAATCAAAACAAAGTGCTCATTAAAAAGGCATTGTCTAAAATGCGTTAAGCTTTTGCTTTAACATTTCAGTCTTTCAAATTGCGTATTGAAAATAAATAAATTTGAAATGCATTCTGTATGAGGATTGATTATTTCACTCAAAAAAGAGTTTAATGAATGAATATTTTGTCTTTTATAGACATTAAAGACAGTTTTGTAAAAATAATGAAAGAGAAGCTCCTTACATTTGTAATACGTTCAAAATATAAATGTTCAAAAAGTTGCTGTTTCAAAGTCTTAAATACATGTTCAACAGGATTATTTTAAGTTTAAAAATATAAAATCGATTATAAAACGCATTTTCCGTCCAAATCAACTTATATTGAGTTATTTTATCATGTATTTCTTTATTGAGGGACCTTTTATTTAGCTTTTATAAATACTTTTAGACAATTATTGCTCAAATTTAGCAAAATTTGAAACTTCAATGTATTTTGAAGAAGCATATTTGTTTCAGTTTGTTTATTTGGAATTGAATTTGGGTATACTATAAAATACATGTATATGTATACATATAGAAATTGCTCAAACAGTGTTAGCTAAGAGTTTCATAATATGACTGTACAAAATTGTTACGTATTTAAAGCTGAAATATGTATATTGAAAACGGCAGATATGAGTAATTACATAAAAACTGCTTAAATGAGTCATTCTTTTATACTCTGAAATAAAAGGAAATGTATTATGAAGTAGAATTTGACTTGATTTTATAAAAATTTGTAAGCATTTTATCAAAATTAACGTGATATTGTACCTCTATATTCAAAGTGGAAATACTTAGAAAGAGAAAATTCTTTCGGAGCAAATATTTATGCATTCTCACCCTATGACAACATGACTTGTATCTATATTATTGCTTAAAGCTACAGTTGAGAACCCATTTCGTTGAACATATGTATGTGCTTATGTTGTGAAGGTGAAACAAGTTTTCATTTTTATTGATTAGATTCGTTGAGTTTATTTTCTAGAAAATTATGTTGGTGCAATGAATTTTATAGGAGACATTCAAAGTTAATTATATATCACGACAAAGTTAATTATTATTTTAAATTTATTTCAAGAATAAAAGTCTGCCATAACTTGATTTATTTTTGGAAAATATTTGAATCTAATGTTTACAAAAGATGCATGATCAGCAACGTGGCTAAATAATACCACGTGACACAATACCTAGACAAGCATCCTCGTGTTATATATTTTAACAGAATACAGCAATATATGTTGAATGTGATCTACTAAAGTCTAAACTGGGATATACGTAGAACATGAGTGTGATTCCGGTAGTATTCTTAATTAAATTAAACAAATAATGTGTCAGATCGTTGCCGACATCATCAATATAAGGATGGCAAAACAATTGATTTACTTTCAGCAATGCAAAACTTCTTTACCAGAAGTTTCTAAAACTTTTGCCATTAAAATGATGTGTCTATCATTGTTCAGGTAGTCAACAAACTTATGACTTCACATTTTATATGTGACCTTGCAATGATATAGGCAAGCAGTGAGCAGATAGGTGGACGTTAAAATTACTAATTGGTGCCGCATGAGTTGCGGTGCCGAAATTTCCAAGAGGCGTGGCGAGCAGGCCAGCTTCAGCGGAGGCATAAGAGCTGCAATCAACCGCCGTCTCTCCCGTCCTGCAGTGTACGACAGCCCTGAAACAAGTAAAAGCAGTGAACTTCAACTTGCTGACTGCCAAAGGGTGAGTGGAACTTCAAACTTTTTACTGTCTGTTTAACCAAAGAACTTCTTCCGCCATGGAGTCTAAAGTTTGTCCGCTGCTGTAGACAAAAAATCACATTTCAAAAAGAGGATGTTGTGTGCGTTAACCTGCCCTAAATGTTGACCCCACTTAAAATATTTTTGAAATGGTAACTACCCTACTGCAACTTGAAACAGTTTAAGTTGTAACTGTTGTAACATAGTCAGTAATTATGTTTTAAACAACAGGTTATGAGAGTTCTTTAGTTTAGCAGATAGTAGTGGCCATGCTAAGGTAGCCTTATATAAGCACATATACAGGGACAAAATAGACGTATAAATATAGTTGCTACGGCAATAGGCATGCATGGTAGTCATAAAAGAAAATCGACCTATTTATGGACATCTAACTGCTGAATCGTTCAATCAATCGAGATAAGGTTTCAGATATAGATATTCAGAGGTACGAGCTCGAGATTATGAGTAGGGCAGCGGAGACGGTTACGGTGGTAGGTATAAAAATTCAAAATTTTAGAATGGCGACACCCATTTGTTTCGTCGCAAAATGTTTGCTATTGCACGACACACAAAAACAACTCTGCGCACGGCCAGATTGTTATTTATTGCATGCGCAGTCAGTGACTTCGAATTTATTTATGATATCACACAGAGTTTGTGGTGAACATGGTCCACATATTTGATGATGAATTTGGTGGGATACATAAAAGGCCTAACTACTAATCATCCAATTTTGATAAAAGATTTTAACTACATAACGATGAATTTTCTTTTACAGAGTAATTTCATCGGCATGTGCCGATCGGCTCTCTACAGAAGAACCAATATATTCTCCCCATTTTTTATAAGTTTTCAACATTGAATATTTGACGAACGTCATTTTGGGACTTTAGTCGAAACGTGGTCCGTGTGCTTCAATCGAATGTTTTTGATCATGCGCAGAGCTGCTTTTTGTGTTTCATGCATAGAGCGTCCGTTTTTGTGATATGCGCACGATTCTAACGCTGATTAGGATTCTTGCGTGCGAGGAGCAATTTGCGAGATGTCCTATGCACGATTCGAAGTGAAGAATGTGTAAAATATGTAAAATATGTAAAATTTTGCGACGAAAGAAATGGGTGTTGCCGTTCGAAAATGTCGAGTTTCTGAACCTAATAACTATAACTATTGTCTACCATTCTCAGAATCTTTAACTCATAGCATTGAATAACTTGATTTGAAATCCCATCTCGATCAGCTGAATGGACTGGTGACCAGAAGTCTATAACTAAGCCAAGTTTATTTTATGACCACCTAGTACATTCCTATAATTTAGAATCCAAATTTAGATTTCATTCAATCCACTTTTCTATAAAAATATCCATTAAATTCATTTTCGCGGTATAGCCACCCTTGAACTCAAATAAAATGTTATAAAACGACTATCTTTATACAATGGCCAAAATCATTTTCTCACTATTCTCCCTTATAGAAATTTATGGTGTTTTTGAGGTTTCTTTGAGGTTGGTTTGAGATTTATTTGAAGTTGACTTCAAATACAGCCCTATAATATTAACCTCTCAAGGTATATACTCAAGGTGTATGAATTTCAGTCTACAAGGAACATTTCAACTACCCTAAATATTTTAACAATAATTGATGATAGGACAAGAAACGAAATAGTTAAATCCTTGTATGTATTGAGAGCAAAATAAAATGAAACAGCTAAATGTTTTTTGATCTAATGATAGGTTTTCACGAATAAACATACAAGTTTATGAAGTGTAGAGAGGTAAGCTTTAAATATGCTAATCAATCAGGTGATATTTTAAATTACGAAAGAAATTATAAAAAAATACTTTTTTTACAAATATGTTTCTTTTAATGTTTTAATTCCTGAACCTCAAAATAAGATATTAGTAGCATTTTATGCCACCTCAAGATACGTTTCACAGTAAAAAGGTGCATATGGGAGGCGATTTCACATGTATCCTTTAACATAATAACATGTGGGAATTCATCAGACGTGTGATTTTCCCTTCTTTAGTGTGCTGGCCAAACACTGAGTAAGGGGAAATCATATGCCAGTGTTATGCTGAAATATGCATAACATATTTCCTAGCATTTGAAAACTAAATTATTATCAACATTTACTAAATTTTATCACATATTATGAAACCATATTGATTGCTATCATTGCCAAAATCTTCACCAATGTGTTTCGGTAAAAAAGTACCAAGCTGTGTGGTGTTCCCATAGAGCCAGAAACACGAAAATGACACACTATTCTGGTAGTTTTGACTATACTTTTTTTTTCAAAGTGTAATAATTATGCGGTTACATAAACTTTAAAGTAATAAGAAAGACTTCTAAATGACGAAATGGAAAATAGATAATGTCAGGTTTTAGAAGAAAGATAAATATGTGTATATGTTTGTTGATATTTCGACCTGCTTTCGGTACTCTAAATTGATATAAAACAAATAATAAAAACTACAAATAGTATTTGAAATAAAAAAAAATTGTGTTTCACAATCGAATTGAAAGTGATGTTACCATGTTTCTAGCGAACAAAGCGCGGCACTCTTCGTCAGGATGTCCTGTGAAAGGTTTTTTGTTTTTTGTTTTTCATACGCTAACTTTTATCCACCATGGGCCGTATTAACAAAAAATGTCTTATTTCGCATTCACAAAACATGTCCCTTTATTTCTGTTTTGAAGAAAATAAAGCTATTTTTATTACAAACATACTTTTCACCTTCGTGTTTTTATGTTTCTAATGTTTCAAAATGCATTGGTTTTGCATGCTGAGAAAAAAAGTATGATAAGGAGTACCAGAATATGGTATAACTTACCATGTTTCTAATTCTCTGGGGCAAACAAAAAGTTCAGTATTTTTTATTGAGGTACTTTGATAATGATTATGGTAAAATTAACAGTAAAATACGGTTTTATAATAAGTGGTAAAATTTATTAAATGTGATAAAATTTGGTATTTTTCTCACGCATCTTAGAGCTTGGCAAAAAAACAAATTTTCCGTAAAATTTACTTTTCAGTTTTGTATTTTTTATTAAATAAGCTGTAATAAGAATCTATAATTTTGAACAGAAATATTGCTAAATAAACGAGAAAATTACTAAATCAATGGTTTAATTTCGATTTCTTTAACCAGAATTACGGTATTTTTTTTTATTTTTTGTTGTTAACTGTGTGGTAATAAGAACTATAGTTTTAAAAAATCAGGATTTATCGTAACCGTTACCATGTGAGCGGAAAAATTTCCAAATGAATGGTTTAAATATATACATTTTGGTTTTTATTACAGAAAGTATATTTTTTTATATAAAAAAATACTAATTCCGGGCAGTATTTTATGTATTTTATATCCGTCGTTGAACAGTCGACCCAATGTTGGGCTTACGACTACTAATGTTCAATTGTAATTTTTGACGCAATCCAGAAGACAAGGGAACTCCTGGATCAGTACCCCTAGAGGTATGATTTGTTATGGGAACATGGAAGACTTTGTGACTCGACAGACTTAACATGCATCAGTCACCATTTACTATACACGGGGAGTCTTCGGCCGGAGGGGATCGAACCCTTAACCTCTTGGACATGAACCCAGCGTCCTACCAACCAGGCTATCCCGGCCCTACCGTACAGTATTGTAATTTTACCAGAATTTCTTTTGAGCTGTAGTAAGTAAATATTATAAATCCTAATGTGATTAGAAACAATAACAACAAAACAAATCTTGAAATTAAAAAAAAGATGATTAAAAAGAAAAATCTATTAAAATCACATACTTTATCATATATTTTGCAAAAAATTAAATAAAAATTATATTCAAGTTTCCACGTTTACAATCAAGAAATTTTTAATGAAACCAAATGATTACCCATCCGTAACCAAAGTAAATTTCTTACAAGTATCAAATTATATTTATTAACTAAAAAAGTTCATCAAGAATTCAAATTATTTGAAAATAAAATTCTCACTTATTTATAATATATTTTTAAAAGAGGTGCTTCAGTGAGAAATCTTTTCAAACTTCACCCTTCATAATAATCTTCAGATAATTCTCTAGTACTTATGTTCAAATAAAAAAATTCCGTATTAAGCGAACTTAAAATTTAAGAGGTCGTGAAAATTGAGTTATTTTGTCTTTTGTCTAGTCATATACGGAAACAAGGCAATTATTTTCCTTTTTTTATAACTTTTAGAAAAGCTTCAATCACAAAAACGAGTTCATTAAAAAGGATAAAAGAAAATGAAGTAAGAAAAAATACAAATTGAAGGATCAGTAATAAGCCAATTTCAAAAGGCATAATGCTCTAAATAATTTTAAATGGATTTTCGGTTTCTTATTTGAAGAATAAAGGAAATAATTGAAGTTTTCCAATTTTCGTTCAATTTCATTTCACAGTCGACTGTAAAAGTTTCTTTAAAGTTAAGAATTTCTGCTTGACTAATTTAAAATTGAAAGCTTGAAGAATGGAATTTTCAGAAATATATTAGAAATCTGAACTTTAATTAAAGGTCTCTAGATATATTGATTTTTTTCTATTTTACGCAGCAAAGTGGAATTACTTGGATACTAAAAATGTTTTCATTATTGTTTAAGTGCTGAAAAATATGTATTTAGAATATTAATAATTTTAAATAGGGTCTGTTAATCTAAAACCAATGTATAATAAAAAAAAGTATCTAAATAATTTATCACGTAGACAACTGGAAAACTTTTTTTACGCTAAATTTCTCTTAAACTTTCTTCATGCAGTTCCGTAAAAACACGCTTGAATCGACAAATTAAAAAAATGAGGTTTAGTGGTAAAAAAGTTAATTTTTAATGTGCATTTTAATTCCTACTTTTGAATATTTATGTTCATTGTTTAATAATTTGCATAATAATACAGGATACATTGCCGTAAATAAATATGTTTATTGATTTTAAAAGCCAGTTTTGTTTTGCCTTTTTTTTAATTAACTTCAAAGAGGAA